CTTCTACGTTGCCTGGTTCGCGAAACAGTTTTTCGCCTACAAATTCCTTTGGAGGTCTCGTGCGCGTAATTGAGGAGATAAAAAATTAGAAAAGTAGATATAAAAGAGCTGTGTACAAGAGAAGTCAGCCTGCTCTATCTTTATAATAATTGTATTGCTTCGCATCAAAGTTACAGTTAATACAGGATTTTATACAGATATTGGGGGCTTATTTTTCTCCTGTCATGATAACTTATGCTTTGGAAGAAAAGTGACTGAATGTCAACGCCGTGTTTGTATTTATATGTACATATATTTTTGGCTTGAAGTTGTGTTACCACTTTGTAACCTACAGATTTATTTTGATATTGAAATGGTACCGCCGTGCCTAGTAAACAAAGACAATAAAATCGCATCTGGCTTGCTTTCCCGAACAGTCTTCGAAACACTCCTCAAGTCACCGGTATGTCGCCTGAAGGGTGTTAGTATCGTTGGCAGCTCTGGCCATGGAATAGTTTCTTCATTTTCCGGACTTGCTATACAAAGCATGGCGAGCTCGCATCACTTGAGATAGTAAATTTACTGGCTAGCTCACTTGAGGGCGGTGACAGCATCATGACTAATTGCTCTAGCCTGACCTGGCAAGCGTCCATCTTCATGAGAACTTGCTAATTAATCAGCCCTTTCAGTTGATCTCAGAGATTCTCCTTTTCTCTGTGTCACGGCATCACCAGACATTTTACAGTGACAATTTGAGTGCATTATGATCGTGCTGCAGCAATTAATTGGGGTAACACGCCCGCTGATAGCGCATGCGCTCGTATAGTTACACACATGAAAGGGTCGTTACCATTTTGGTGTAGCACCCGCTCCACAGCATATTCTTTTTCTCCTACAATCTTGGTTTGTCACAAGGAAATTGATATTTTCCTAATAGCAAGTTTTCTGCAAATCACACTTGTGAAGAAGCCACCTGCTCGACGTGTCTTTCTGGAAAGTACAATGTGTAAAATGCCTTGTCGATGAAATGACCACTTATGCGTTTTCAAAAGCAGTACAAAAACTTGAGAACTGAGTGTAGCCGCCGGCCATGGTTCCCTGCACTTCGAACAACTGATGAAGCACGCGGCGTAGATGTGTGAAATAAGCGGCAAGACTCTTCCGATTCATGCACGGCCAAATTTCTTAAGTGTGTTGTTGCACGAATGAAGCACTTTTGAGAACAGGGCAATGAGGATTATTATTGCAGTGATGACATTATTGTTGCTCTTATTGTTAGCAGTGATGCCATGGGGACTACGAAGTCAGGAACAGCTCGAACTACCAGACGCTGCTATGACCAAACGGCTGATTTCCAGCATCCCGAAAATTTCGCAACTGATCAGAGATGAACTGGAAGGCAAACGTGACGCCATCCGGCAAGTTGCTTTAGAAAATTCTTAATAAGAAATATATCTTACGTTACTTAGCTATCATATGTAAAATATATTTTTGTCAAAAGGAAAAATTTCAGTGTAGATAAAAATAAATGGCCAGCGTACCGACTGTTGGTACGAAGATGCGTTTTTTGCATAGTTCCCCGCAGGTTTTTTTCGCTAACACCGCTGGTTTTTTTCGGAAAAAGCTTCTAGCTAAAAGAATTGGAACTAGCCACCAGAACTGTCAGAAAACATCCCCTTAAAATTCCAGTCTTCTAGCTTTTCAGGTTACCGAGTTAGCAACTTACCCGAAGAAAACTTCCACGAGCCCATGCATGGGAAACACGTATATCCAGGGCCTCGTTTTGAGCTCATCAATACCTACTTGAGCGGGGAACATCCTCTTAAAATTCCAGTCTTCT